GCGGTTGGCGAAACTAATACAGAGACCTCAGAAAAACTTCAGGAAACCTGCAACAGAATCAATCGATGGACAAAATAGTGGAAAATAAAAATAAATCAGTGCATGTTGATTTTACTCTTCGGCCAAATGAACAAAAACAAATAAGAATAAACAATGACGTTATTCCGCATCACGATTAGGCCAAATACCTGAGGGTGACTTAAATGGAAAGATCACATAAAAAAAAGCGTAAATAACTTCAACTTAAATTCAAAAAAATGTATTGGCTCCTAGAAAGAAAATCCAAATTGTCAGTGCACAACAAACTGCTGATTTATAAACAAATCCTAAAACCAATCTGGATTTATGGCAAACAGCTATGGGGATGTGCCAGCAAGAGTAATATCAACACGATACAAGTTTTCCAAAATAAAGTCCTAAGATGCATTGTTGATGCACCTTGGTTCTACCGAAACGATTATCTTCATAAAGACCTGAAGATGCGAACAATCGAAGAAGAAATAAAGAGGTTTGCTGCGAAACATGAGGGTCGACTCCACTCCCACGTTAATGAAGAATCGTTGCAATTACTGGACAACTCTACACTGAACAGAAGGCTCAAAAGGAAGAAGCATTAAGCCATTTGAGCTAGTGCAGTGAACGTTAATGTTAGTGCTAGTGTAAAACAGTGTAATAAATCGTCACGTTAACTTGTTATGCTTTTCTATAGAAACAATTAAGACAGCCCAATGGGTACTTCTTAGATAAGTAATTAGTTTGTAAGATTTTTAGATTAAAATTGTAAGTTAGTTAGTAATAACTAGTAACAATACTCTAACAAAAAAAACTTCTTTTTCCATTTGTACGTTTCCTATAATAGCCGCAGGGTGCTGCAAGGTACTGCGTAACAATATCCTGAGGTAATTGAATAATTTGAACTCTGCCTTCTTATTTGTTATAACACAAAAATAGAATTTGCAGCTCTTGTATGGTACTGATGTATGGAAGAAATAGGAGTACGTTTACAATTTTAGACAATTTAGACCAACTAAATGATATATTAAATGAAGGCAATGATAACTTTCATCATAGTTTATTTATAGGAGACATAAACATTGACTTATTAAGGAAAACTGAAGATTCAAAAAATTATCTTGACATGATGAGTGAGTATGGGTTTCAATCAACCATAAATACTGTGACAAGGGAAAGAAATGGATCTAAGTCATGTATAGATCATATATTTATAAAAACAGAACAACAAAATTATGATAAACTAATACCAATCACTCTCTCTACTACAATCACTGATCATTACATAACTTTATTACAAATTGTATTAGAAAAAGGAAATGGTAATCTCATGCACAATAATAATGACAAATATTTAAAAAAAATAGATGAAACAATGTTACAAGAAGTTAGTAGACGTATTAACTGGGAAGTTGAATTATACCCAATACAGGATCTTGAATCTGTAACAAAGAAATTTATTGATTTAATAAACACTTGCATACATAAATCTACTAAATATATTAAAATAAAAAATAGTGAACGAAAAAGAAAAAATTGGATTACGAAGTCACTAATTAAACAGGTAAATGAGCAAAATAACTTATATTTATTATGTAAACAAAATCCAAATAACGACAATATGAAAAATAATTATTTAACATATAAAAAAGAAACTGAAAAGAATATAAAAAATACAAAAAAGGAATATTATAAAAAATTAGTAGAAAATGAACAAAAATCAAGTAAAAAACTTTGGAACACGGTAAATGAAATATTAAGTATTAAAACAACAAAACAAATAAATAACATTAAAAACGAAAAAAATGAAATTGTTACAGATCCTAATGAAATTGCAAATATATTTAATAACTTCTTTGCCAATGTAGGACAAAACTTAGCAAAAAATATAAATAAAAATCCAAACTATAAAAGTAAAAAATCTACTAATAATAACTCAATTTTTCTTAACCCTACAAATATAACTGAGGTACAAAACACCATACATGGTTTAAAAAATAATAAATCTCCTGGGGAGGATGGAATAAAAGCTGAAACGTTAAAGATTATTTCACATTCTATAAGCAAACCCTTGACAGACATCATTAATAAATCAGTTGAAACAGGCTACTTTCCCTCAATTCTAAAAAACTCAATAATAACCCCAATATTTAAAAGTGGAGATACCGAAAATGTCACGAATTATAGGCCTATCTCGTTATTGTCATCAGTTAGCAAAGTTTTTGAAAGAATTTTAAAAACTAGACTAAATGCCTTTTTATCCAAATATAATCTGCTGTCAACATCGCAGTATGGGTTTAGAGATAATAAATCTACACAAGATGCAATACATTCTTTAACAAAAACCATCTATGAATCTTTAGACTCAAGCACTCCATCTATAGCAGTTTTTCTGGATTTAAAGAAAGCCTTTGACACAGTGGATCACTCCATACTTCTAGATACACTGGAAGATATGGGTGTACGAGGTACAGCGCATAAGTTGTTTAAAAGTTATTTAACAAACAGAAAACAGAAAGCAAAATTTAAAAATATAATTAGTGGAGAGGTAGAAATCACGTGTGACGTACCTCAAGGGACGGTGCTGGGGCCGTTGTTATTTGTAAGTTATTTAAATAATTTATTCATACAGGATACTATCGGTAAAATTATAAGCTTTGCGGATGACACTATAATATATTATACGAGTAACAACTGGTACAATCTAAAATTAAGCATTGAAAAGGATCTTAATAAACTCAAAGACTGGTTTGATAGTAGATTACTTTCAATCAATTTTGAAAAAACTCTATACATACCTTTTAGTAGCTATGACATATCTTTGCCGGAATACAGTCTTAAAATCCAACAAAACTTTTCAATAAAACCTGCGAAAAAGATCAAATACTTAGGGATATATATAGACAATCATCTCAGATGGGACTATCACATAGATTATTTAACAAAAAAACTACGTAGTATTTTATTTAAATTTAAACAAGTTGTAGGATTTTTGGAATATAAACATAGAAAAATTCTATATCATAGTTTGGTTGAATCACATCTTCATTATGGCATTATTGGTTGGGGAGGGGTATCAAGAACTTACCTTCGTGCACTTGAAGTCTCTCAAAAACGGTTTCTTCGAATAATATTCAATAAAACAGCAAGACATTCAAGCAATCTTCTCTATAGTGAATCACAAATGTTAGATATTAGGCAATTATATAGTATCCAGCTAGGGTGTCAACAGTACAAAAACAAAAATGAACTTACCAGATTAAGCCATCAATATCAAACAAGAACAAAACACTTACACTGTATACCAATAACTTCGAAATCTGTAGGACAAAGAAGCTATGTATATTTAGGTCCAAAACTGTTCAATTACTTACCAAAGAGAATAACAGAGGAAACTTCTTATAAGAGCTTTAAAAAGCAACTTACACTCTTCATAAAAGAAAGTGAAAGAACAGATATTCATAAAATAATAGAGAGTTGAACAAGAACAAAATAGAAAATAAAAAATAAAAATTTTTCTCTTAGTCTATTCTTTCAATGATTTTAATTAATATTTTATGTAGCCTAGTAAATAAAAAAAAAAAAAAAAAAAAAAATGTATATAAAAAAAATTAAAAAAAAAATGTATAACTTAAAATTATTATATATTTTATCAAGTTTTTATTTAATGCATTTCTAATATATGTATTTAAATATGTTCTTTTAATAATTATATTTTTTTTACCACAAACAAGTATTTATAATACTTCAGTGGATATTTTTAGGTTTATTCATCCAATTGGATTGATTGTATGTATTTTTAATTATTGTATATATTTTTTATTATGAATAAACATTATTATTATTATTATTATTATTATTATTAATTCAATACAGAAACTGTCCCTTATTCAACCAGTTCAACGTAGTCAATATAAGATGAATAGTATATCTGTAACCTCTCAAAAGTAGAGTTAGAACATCCTATGTATTATATATTTGGCATTACTTGTATCCTAAAGATATCACTTGAGCATAGTTTAAACCATAGTGAATTGTAGATATTCAACCAGAAGTTCTTGGGATAGTTTATAAAAACCTGTTTATTATCATATTAAATCAATTTAAATGTAGTTAATTATTTATTTAAAAAACAATTCCACTAGATGAAGAAAGAAAAGTTTCGAATCCGTCGTCGAAGTATTAAATAAAAATATTCGCTGCAAAGAAATTACTATCAACACTACGAGTATAGTTACAATTTGCAATATATTATCGACAAATTGGGCCAGCCCTGTTAATTAGAACCCAACAGTGAATGGTCGAGTGGAGAATCCTACCAAGATAAGAATTAATTTTAAGTAATTAAATTAAATAAAAAAATCCCGGCCAATGGTGGGATTCGAACCTGGGACCCTTGAATCTACAGGCAGAGACTCTACCACTGAGCCACCCACCCCTTTACTTACCTCTTATTGTTATTATTTTGCTACATTACTGAGGTTTTTCCGAGGCACAGCGCTTTCATCAAACGCATTCAAATAAATAAGATGTTGCGACAGTTCGAGATCTAGTGTAAATTTCATGTTTTTATACCACGTGAATCTCGTAAACACACGTTTAAAAGTACTTGTAATTAAAAAATGTAATTGTACTTATAAATGTAATTGTAATCGGAAAAGTAATTGTATTTATACAATTTAAATAATATATTTACAAAGTATAATTCCTCCAGAGATTTGGTTCAATTACAATTCCAAATTACTTTAAAAAAGTTCTTAAATACAATTTACAAATTACATGAAAAAAAGTAATTATTATTTACATTTTAACTAGGAATTACCCAGCTCTGATGTACAGTTATGATAACCTTCTGAAGCTTGGATTTACCCTTGATTTATTAATATATAATTACATTTTACTTTTCTTAGAACTCGTTAAAATAAATTTTAAACGGAGACGCATTAATGGAAATCAATAACAGTGCCTGGTTAAATTCATTAAGAAACTAACAGTCGTCTCTTACTGGCCTATAATGATAGAACGATAACTTGTTTATTCTATAAAACTAAAATATTTAGATCAGATATTTATTCATCTTGTAGTACCTAGTAGATGTTATTATTTCCGTATCACTCTCAATTTAGATTATTTAGTTGTTTTGTAAATATGTTTTATTTATTAAGTTTGTGTGTTATTAATATTGTGATTGTGAATTGTCAGTATGAAGTGCCAGATGCAAAAGTTAAAGTTTTCTACCCTAAGGGATTTACTGTATCAATACCAGGTAAGAAAAAATAATTGTTTAGTACTCAAACCTTTTAAGTTTTCAAAATACAGAAAAATGTGTAAGAATAGAGGTGTACCTGCGCATGCCGTTTGCTCTATTAGCGCATAGAGCGCAAAATATATATTTTATTACTAAACAAATGAAAAAAAAATTTTAAACACGAAATAAAGTTATCTTAAATAAAAACACTAAATAAAAGCAGCTTTTGGCGCTTTCTTTCTGAAAAATTCAGAAATAAGATCAGTCCTATTTATAATATCGAACAAATCACTTTCTATCAATAAAATTGCCAAATTATCGAGATAAAATAAAAACATACTTAACCTTTTTTTTGTTTTTTACTTTCGATGGTTACCGGTCACAGCTAACAGCCTTCAAATAACCAATCGCAAAGCTTAAATTTGGTTCTATTTCATAAGTGCAGTAGGCATTACAAGTATTAGAAATTAAAAATTAAAAAAAACCGACTTCAAAAACGTGCAGATGCCATCACCACATCTTAACCAAATTTATATAGGACGACCCCTGAGGTACCCCCTTACTAACAAAAAAAGAATCATATAAATCAGACAAGGTTGTAAAGCATTATCGCTAAACATACATAAAAAATGAAGAATTTGAAGATTTTCTCATGGACCCAATTATTAGATTTTGACCAAATTGATATGGGTCCACCCCTGAAGTACCCCCTTTCTAACAAAAAAGAATCATTGAAATCGGACACCGTGTTAAAGAATTATGGCTGAACATACATAAAAAAAAATATATTGCGACGAATTGAGAACCTCCTCCTTTTTTGAAGTCGGTTAAAAATCTGGCATCTTAGAAGCAAAGTCGGTAAAAAGACAATACTGGACATTATTTTTAAATTTCTATTTTACCTATTTTATTTTATTTAAGCCGTTTAAAATAGCATCAGGACTATCCAGAATTGCATTATTGTAATTCATTGTTCTTTTGAACAGGCTATGATATTTTGCTTTGCCGACGGCTGTTCATGATAACTGTAGAATTAAACCATGAAGGATGGCGATTTTTTCATTTCATAGTGTATGTTGGTAATGTGCTATATAATTTCTCAAAGAAATAGGTACAAGCACCTTTTGCATCATCAAATACCTCAAGAAAGTTCCAGTCAACGTTACTGATGAGATTTATTTACCTGTAAGATTGATTATCGACTCTAATGGAAACAAGTAGTTCTTTTATTTTTTAGACGAGCCTGGTATCAAACTATTCGCATTCCATGGTAAGATTAATGAGGAATTCGATGGAAGAGAAGCAGGAACCTTCGCTAGAGATATTCTGAAACCCAAAAACGGTTCTTGGACATTTGTAGATAGATTTACAAAATTAAAGGAAGGAGATATTTTGTATTATTGGACGTATGTTGATTACGATGATGGCCAACATAAACTTGGATACGTGAAAGATGACCAAATGTTCGAAGTTAAAGGTAAATGAGTTTTAATTAATTAAATATAGTATTAAAATGAATTTCCTACCTAATTAACCAAAGAATTTTACTACTATTTCAGTTTAGAACAATAAATAACAATAGATATTCAAAAAATTGTTGTATTCATTCAGACTTATCTTCTCATAGGACACTTTCGGGTCCCTATACAGTCATTACAATGTTTTTACATTTTTTACAGGGTGATCTTCTCTCTCAAGACATTTTCGGGTTAATATACCTTCATTACAATTTTTTCACATTTTATACAGGGTAATCTTCTCATAAGATACTCTCGGGCACTATACGCACCTTACAACCTTATGTATTTCAAACACACACTCAACACTTATATCTACATAATTTATTAACAAAAAGTAAGCAAAGATCAGGTCATAGAGGCTGGGCTAGGAAACTGATTTGGGACGTTTCCACCAGCAGGTGCAAAAATATATGGCTTGTATTAAATAGGCTAAAGCGATTAATTAAATAAGACACTTCAATCCCTTAATATATGAGAGGTATATTAAAGTTTTGTAAATAAAAAAAATAATGTTTCTTGGTTAATAAAGCATTTTTGATTTTACTCGATAAATCTAGGTTCATTATTATCAGTAATATTTTATTTTTTAGACCTAATTAATCCTAATCTGCCAAAAATTGATGTAAGATATAATACTCATACAGATTCAACAAATAATGTTCTATTTTTCGAAGACTTTTCTTCTAATAGGCTCGATCCTAACAAGTGGATAATTGAACAACGATTTGCAGATGAACCGGTGAGTTGTTTGACACACCTCTACAAAGAAGGAAGTAGAAATGTTTAAATAAAAGTCCTCAAATTATGTATATTTTTTTAATAATTATTCAATATAGTATGTATACCACATGTATACCATCATTTATCGAAACAAAAAATAAAAACATCTTAAAAATTCCTAAAACTATATCGTTTATTGATCCGGAAACATGATATTCTTTAGAAATCCCCAAATACATTTTTCACGAAATATTAAAATCACATTTATTTAAAAATTCACGCGAAGGAAATTGAACCCACCTCATGTTCTGCACAGTCTTACATTTTTTTTTATTTAAATTTTTTTTACTTTGACATTTCAAAAATAATTTTGAATATTTGGGGATTTCCAAAGAATAATATAAGTTGGAAATACATCGAATATATTTTATTTAAAACATCAGGCTAGCCCAGACCTGAGTGCCAAACAAGTAACTACAACGTTTTCAATAAGACCACCTTTCAACTAGTTTTCAATCTAATTGTGTAAACAGTTACTTACTGATTAGTTATGTAAACCAGTGTATTCAATTATTAAGATGGAAATTAAACTACACATCGTCACTGGAAAGACAGAGGCTTAACTCCAATTTAGCTATATTAAAGTTTTGATGTATTGCACAGCATGTAGAGAGATACGTCCCTTTATGGATATCTACTTTTAATAGATGTGTGGGCATTTTCGACTTACGCCCCTTTGCCTTTTTAGTGACGACATATTGACAAATATTTTGATTTACAGGATTTTGAATTTGTTATGTATGTTAACCGACCAGAAGTACTTACAAAAGAAGGTAACAAACTTAAAATTAAACCAGTGCTTTCTGAGAATATATTTGGAGGAGGATTTGTAAATTCAATAAATGGCTATAATTTTGGAGATAAGTAAGTAATTGTTTTTTTTTTTAATTGGGAGTGGATTTGATATTTATTTCGACAAAAAGCTGTTTCGTCTTTTAGGTACAATTATAATAAATCAAATGTTTGATAATTGTTCAGTTAAAACATAACTTCAGGTTTATATGGACCTTCGGAAAAAGTATCTACACGTTCAAACTTTTTGAAAAAATTTGTAAATATATATACAACCTTTAGTATTATTTTACCAAAATTTGATCCGGTTTGTATTATTTGTTCTCAAGAAAAATCGAAAAATTTACTTTTTTACAAGTAAAAAACAAAGAAACTAGAATATCGAAACAGATCATTATTTCATAAAATAAATAAGTTTCGGTTTGTAACAATTTCGTTGCTTTCTAATAGACGATATTACGGCCCATTGAATGCCAATGCAAGCTTTTACCTGAAATTGTCTAATTTGGAAGACAATTTCATAGTGATTTTAGCTCAATTTATTTAATTAGGATTTTATAATTTTCCGTACAGGAAAATTGTGAAATTTATTATGCTCAGGGGTGAATTCTCAGTTGTTTATGTTGTAACTTTTATAATGTATCTGAATTTGAACAAGACGCCACCTGTTTTGACTATATTTAAAAAATATACGTTTTCAAAGAAAAACAAAATAGGAAACAAAACTATACTGTGACAACTGTCAAGATATAGTACGATAAGTTCAAATTCAAACGAATATCAGGTGAATTAAAAAAGATAAATTTAATTTAGGGTTTATTGTAAACAATTGACAAACGGCAGAACTGAGGGTTCTGACCAAATATTTAAACTTGAACTGAAGGTTCCTGATACATAACGTTAGCTTGAACTGAAGGTTCCTAATGTTTACAAATTAATTTGAACTGATGGTTCCTAAGATATAAAATCAATTCTTAAATGACAATTTGAACTAAGGGTTCCAAATATATAAAATTAAGTATAAAAATGTAGTAAAAAATATAAATTGTAAGTAAAAATTATATATTATTATATATAAATACAAGTAAGCTCGGCTTGGTTTCGATTTAAATTACCGGATGATCAAGCTGAATGATGGTCCTGCTGGTTCTGGAGATAATCTAGCCTGTTCGGGAGTTCAAACGAGGTGGTATTCAGTTCCGTTTCTATACAGGAAGGAGCCTTGTCACTATAGAGTCTCTCGACGCTTTACGTTACAGATTCACCGACGTTCTGAAGCTGAGGAACTAGATCTCCACTTGAATCGACTACATTCAAAACTTTTTCTAGTCTTTTCTCATAAATTATCATCGGTAATATTCCACTGCATGAAAATGAAACACATGTGTGTGTAAGCTACTTATATTGGTAACACAGTGGTTAAAAGACGTCTTTTACTGCCCCTGAGGTTACGTAAATTGCCCAAAAGACCGATAATAAAGAAGGAATACTATTATTCCACAAAAATATACCCTTGACTAGGTCTCAGACCTTTTAGTCTGCAATAATTACATCCACCTGTATGGAAAAAGCAATACTAAAACCAAATAAGTTAACAGAAGATTAACTTTCTAATAAAATTAACTAAAACTTAAACGCTGAAGCTAAAATTAAGCTTAGTTGGTAAGGTTCATACCAAACTTAGAAAATTACTTATAAATAGCTACTATTCATTAGCAAACATAAACCCACTTTACTTAAGGTAAATTGCCCTTTAATAATCAAATCCCTGATTACTTTAAAACAATGAAGTGATATCACAAATAAATTTGAAAAGGAATCAATTAAATTTGAATATCTGTGAATCCATTCAATGGATCATTCGAAAAATACCCCAACTTATACTTATAAATCAAAACAAAGAATTAGTTGGAGGTCTTTCCTAAATAAATTAAATAAGAGTACTCCTATATCTAAAATCTGGCACCTTATTAGATCTATCACTAATAAATATCACCAGAAAAAAGCCCCCTTTAGGCAAACAATTAATTGAAAATATTCTGGATAAACTAGCTCCCTCATCTGTTCCTTGTAACCTTTTTACTTGTTATAATAACCTTTTTCAATTTATTTCCAATTCAAATCCTTTATCTATTCCATTTACTCATAAAGAACTAAATTTAGCTTCAAAAAGAGCAGAAATTCTATCCCAGGTCTGGATGGATTCACATCTAAAATTTTGTACAATCTTCGTGAAGTAGGAAAAAAATTATTTTTACAGTTTCTTAATAAGTGGAATATTCTGATATATTGAAAAATATATTCATTCGTCTTGTATGTAAACCAAATAAGTTCTGTCATCATATCGACCTATCTCATTAATGTCATGTCTTTCCAAAACCTTCGAGAGGATGATAAAATTTAGACTAGAACATTTTGTTGAAAGTAGGTCTCTCTTGCCTAGCACTCAGTACGGATTTCGTAGAGGTCAAGGCACAATTGATACTCTAACACACTTAATTACTGACGCACAAACTTGTTTCTCCAAAAATAAGTATATGTTATATTTATTCAAAGATTTAACAGGCGCCTATGACGTGGTTGATCTAGGTATTTTACAATCTAAGATGAATAAAATCGGCATTAATAATAAGGTATAAACAACTTATTTATAAACAGAAAGATATTTGTCCGTGATCATAAAAATGTACTACATGGCCCGAGAACCGTATATAATGGTCTACCACAAGGACCTGTTTTAAGCCCACTTCTTTTTAATATATACAGCAGAATTGCATAATTTGATGGAAGATACCATTAAAATCATCCAATATGCAGATGACTTATGCTTTTATACCATCCAAAATTCATATGAACGTTGTATGAGAGACTTAAAATATGTTTTTTATTGTTTGAAAGACTGTATTAGTGACATGGGTTTTAGTATTTTACAGGAGAAATCAGCTATCATGTGTCTTACGCGACACAGACTCGGAACTGCTGAATACTGCTCATTAGGTGACTTGACTATACCCATAGTTAGTAAATACAAATACCTTGGTTTAGTTATAGTTAAAAAATTGCTATGTACCAATCATATAAAATACATAAGGTAGAAGAGCGATAAGGGACTTAATCTCCCACGTGTAGTATCTAAAAATAAATGGGGTACAGACCCAAATATCGCCATCAGATAATTTAACTACTATTTATACAGATGGATCAAAAAATGGTTTGGGTACTGGCTGTGCAATTCTTGTTTCAGACACTAATTATATAGAATCATTTAAATTATCCTGCTTCTGTTCTATATTCACAGCTGAAGCAGTGGTGATTCTAAAAGCCTTAGATTGGTGCAAAGCAAATTCATTTAAGAATATAGTTATAGTGTCTAACTCCCAATCAATTCTGCAGACTATTGATAGCCCTTCCATAAGTCAAAACAAAAACGCGGTAATATTATCCATTAAGAAAATTATATTTGACCTTAAACAGTGTAGCGTTAAAGTTTCCTTGGTTTGGGTTAAAGGACATTGTGGCATTGCAGGAAATGAACATGTGGATAGGGCTGCTAAAGAAGCATGTAGTTTAGAACAAATTACATTATTTTGTAGTTTTATAGATATTATTAACATTTATAAAAAATAAATAAAATGAATTTAGCTCAAAGCCGAATATCACATAAAATACAACGACCGTTTCCCCTTCAGAAAAACAACTACTCCTTTGGCTAATACCAAAGAATACCTACCCAAGAAGCGACACTAAATGGGCGATTCGTGGACGAAAAATTGCCAAGTTTTCTCAGTGTTTTAGAGGTAGTTTAACGTCAAATATAGTTGTCAGTTCATGTAGTGTATGACGTTTGGTATATTATTCTTAGCGTTTTGAGAAAATTTCAGTAGGTTTATTTAAAAGTAGTAATTATATATTAGATAGTTTAAAGGTTTTTATTACAATGAAAAAAATACATTGCGTTGTTCGTGGTTGTGTTACAACTTCAGAACAAGGGCTAACAATGTTTAAATTCCCAGGAGATGCCATAAGGTATGTACTGAAATGTTACTGTTCAAATTTATTTAGAAAAATTAAGTATTAATAAATATAATTTTGTAGAGCTCAAGTCTGGTTAAAAGCTTGTAATCGTGAAGATTTAAATTTCACAGTTCCTAGTGGCTTATCTTCATATAGAATATGTGAACAACATTTTGAAGAAAAATATTTTTCAAACAGTACATCTTATAGAAGACGATTATTTGACAATGCTGTACCCACAGTATTCTCCAAATGCAAACGAAGCTATGATATTTTCCTACGACCACTTAGGAAAATGACACATATCACACTATGGAAAGTGCCCTATATCACACGCGTATGAATAAGAATTTACTTTCCACCCGTGTACGAATATGCTACTTTCCGCAGTAGCTGTCAGAAAATGTTAAACATATAATTTCTATTTTGATCTATGTAATGTCCATGTTAATACTAAAATCGATATGATTGTTAAATTATTGAAATTGTTGTAAATTAGATCCTAGATATTTATCTTTAACAATTATTATTAAAATAATTTTAAAATAACTAAGATATGTTTGCTTTTTATTCTGGTTAAATGGATAACCGATTAGATCATTCAATTGACGTAAGTGCTATTAGCTCAGATGGTTAGAACGTCGAACTTATTAACTTTGCCATTTGAGACTTGGCGAGCGACCGCGTTTAAATCTTGGCGGGGCCAGAATTTTTTTTTTGTTTTTTTTTATTTTTAGTATTTTTTTTGTTTAGAAAGTGTGAATATTGAATAAATACGATTATTGTTGATTATTTTTTTAAATACATTTTAATTATTATAGTAATAATAACCTGGTTTTACATTTTTTGATGTCATTATTTTGTGGTCGTAGAAAAAATATTGTACATCATTTGTGTGAAAAGTGATTTTCCACACTCGTGTGATAGTCGCACTCAGCTTGTGCCTCGTGCGACAATATTTCCCACTTGTGTGAAAAATGTCACTTTCCACACTCGTAATGTCAAATTTGGAAAATATAATTGCAACGTTGCCAGATTGTGATAAAATTAGTAGTTAATGGAAAATTGTGATTGCCCATACCGGTCCATAATTATGCAACAAGAAAAAAAGCAAGGACTATAAATAACTTTTATATTATGACCGTTTTTAAGATATGAATGGCTTGAGGACGTGTCAGGGAAATTTTTCAAAATAATCTTGCTTCTTTGGAAACAAAACTTATTGTTCTTTAAAGATAGTAATTCATTTCTCGTAGTTGATATCATTTTAAAGATATAAAATAATTATTTATTTGAAAAAATTAGAAAGACATGTATATGTCGCTTTAATGTGAAATTACCCACCTGCCAATCCTGGTTTTTGGTACGTCTGAGGATGCCTATACATTTTTTTATTGCTATGTTTCTTATTGCTTATTCAAAATAATCTAAGGATGAACTAAATAAGAAATACATTTTCCAATTTCATAAATTAGAATCTTGCATTTTTTGTCAAATTTCTCGAATACGGACCATTTTAAATGACAAAAATTATAGAGAATAACATTACAAGCAATTTTTATTTAAAGAATTTTCTTCTCCAAGCGTAAATATCAGATATATTCCATAAAGTAGAAAAACAACCTTCTACAAAGTACCCCCAGATTTTTCGACTATTTCCAAAAATTAAATCACTATTTTGTTTTTCAAACCATACGGACTGTGATCGATTTAATCCATTAAATAATATACATATAAACAATTTTATAGTAAGGATTAAAACAGTAATATATATGACAGACTCACTCTGAGGAACCAAGTCGCTGCTATCAGGATCATGCAATCAAAATACATTATCAGCTACCTACAGTACTTATTACTAAAATTATTATTATTATTAACATTATCTATTGAACATAGTAAGAATTTTCCGTCATTTTAACTTTAATATGTGTTTAATTCTCATGAACCAAACAACAAAAATTGATTGGAATTATACGTTTCCCAGTGTATTAAGTTTCCATTTACGTCAAGGTCGCTGCTACTTTGATACATAGAAAAACTCATTCAGTTTCGCTTCTTGGGTATGTATTCTTTGCTAATACCACAACAGGCATTGAATTACATCCGAAGGAAAAACAGCAGAGATAGAAATTAATTTTCAACACTCTCTACTTTGATTTTGCTCACCAAGGAGAACATCATTCTTGGACCGGTTTCGTCCTTATTAGGACTCCTCAGCAAGAAATAGATAGGTTCTCAATTCCAGTCTCTAATGGAATTAACAAATGCTATACATTTCACCAGTATACCATAAAGTTGGTTACGGAGAGAATAAAATTCAAGTAGTGAAAATGGTGTCGCCATCTGTTCTTAGTAAGCAAAATCAAAATGCGCTATGGTACCCAGTTTGAAAACTAGGTAGAACCAAATAAACCAAGCGGGCAATTTGTAAACGATAATAAAATATCAAAACTCAAATGTGATAGATGCAAAATGAAATAAAATGAATTTAGCTCAAAGCCGAATATCACATAAAATACAACGACCGTTTCCCCTTCAGAAAAACAACTACTCCTTTGGCTAATACCAAAACAGGCATTGAATTTATTGTCCTAATAAGGACGAAACCGGTCCAAGAATGATGTTCTCCTTGGTGAGCAAAATCAAAGTAGAGAGTGTTGAAAATTAATTTCTATCTCTGCTGTTTTTCCTGCGGATGTAATTCAATGCCTGTTGTGGTATTAGCCAAAGGAGTAGTTGTTTTTCTGAAGGGGAAACGGTCGTTGTATTTTATGTGATATTCGGCTTTGAGCTAAATTCATTTTATTTCATTTTGCATCTATCACATTTGAGTTTTGATATTTTATTATCGTTTATTTATAAAAAATATGTCAGAAACAAGTGGGAAATTAAATACAATGAACATGCGAAGGCATCACAAAGTAACTATTATAGTATACATCCAAATCTTCTTAAGAATATTCCTTACATCAGTTCATGGAATCATAATAAATATCAGTCATCTATAATTGCTCGTTTGAAGCTCTGCACATTTATGTAAAATTGGAATATTGGATTCTCCTTTTTGTCCATAATGCAATATAAGTAAACACTTTAGCAGATATCAATCATTTATTTTTAGATTGTAATAAAAATGCTAAACATACCGTATTATAAAAAGGTTTAAATAAACTTACACTCCCACTTACACTTCACTTTTAATTCGTTCAGATAAGATAATTTTTGACGCTCTTATTAAATTTACTCAAAATACTAAAATAGATATTTAACATAATATACATGAAAATTATCAAGTAAACTTTTTGTGGTAAATAAACTTGCATGTCCTATGTCATCCATCCATTAATAAAAAAAAACTAAGAAACACATTACCAGACACGTTAAAATAAAAAAGAATATTTTAAATTATAATTCACACTACAGCACCGACATGACCTAAAGACCTGACTTAGACACCATGGGAGTGGTGCCACCTACAAGTGTCCATAAGATTATCCTACTATATTATCTTCATACAACGATAGAACTCTCTGCGGTAACGATCCTCTGTTGTATCCCAAATCCCATTGGCCTGCTAAGATTAGTAATAATAATATCAAACAGCTCCCAAGGAAATCAATATATTTATTTATAAATATTCAATATTTTTCAGCTGCACAAGCCTTATTGGATCGCAAAGTTGTAGAAGAAATACTGGAGCTGGATTCATATTACCTCCAGTGGCATCTTCGCAAATTAGTACTAAGAATAAATTTTCTTTCAAATATGGAAGAGTTGAAATTCGTGCAAAACTTCCACGCGGAGATTGGATATATCCAGGTAATGAACATATTAAAATTCAATTTTACAAAAATCAAGTCCATTAGAATATAGGTTAGTTAATTATTATTTTTTTTCAGAAATTTATTTGGAACCTCTACACGAAGTTTATGGATCTGGAAACTACAAATCTGGACGAATTAGAATTGCATTTTCACCAGGAAATGAACAGATGAATAAAATTTTACACGGTGGTATAATTCTTGGTCCAAACAATGCAGCCAGAGATTATGGGGACAAAACCATTGAAGATATGAATGGTTATTGGTCTGAAAATTTCCATACGTTTGTCTTAGATTGGCAACCGCGTAAGTAGCGTGAAGTATAGAATATTTTAATAATTTTTTTTTAATTGTAACATCTTTTGTGTCAAAATAATTTACGTAAGGTAACTAGTTACATAAAGTTGAACAATAGCTAATATATTATAACAGTATCGATTTGAAAATTTCCTCCTATCTTGCTACTCAATAAAACCTTCAATCTTCCTTTGCAAAATCGGAGTCCTCTCTTATTTATGACTTCAGCTTCTGATTTCTGATTCTTGGATCCAATGCCTCTCTAATACTGTAACTCTAGATAGCTTTTATTTATTTTCTAGATGGCATAACTGTAAGTGTTGACAATAAACTCTATGGACGAATAGATCCACCAGAAAACGGGTTTTCACAATTAGGAGGATCTTTGAGTATTAAAAATGCCGATAGATGGAGAACAGGATCAAAATTGGCTCCTTTTGATCAAGAAGTGAGAATATAATAAAATTACAAATTGAAAAAGTTTTCAAAGCTAATAATATTTGTGCTTGTTATATTTGATATTATTGTTTTAGATGTATTTGGTACTTGGAGTTGGAGTAGGAGGTTTTAACTTTAAAGACAGCCCTTCTAAACCTTGGAAAAATGGAGGAAGAAACAGTGTTTCACAATTTTATGAAGCCAAAAATGAATGGTATAGGACGTGGGGAGAAAGCAGTAACTTGGAAATTGATTACGTCAGAATTACATCTACATAAAACTGGTTTATATTTTTTAAATAAATTGTTCAAAAATTGTTTTTTTATTTTAATTGAGTAGAGGACAATGCATGTAATATACAAATACCTTTCTCTCTGTTACAAAGTAGAAAGCCAAAAAAATAAATAAACTAGACTAGATTATATTTAAAAGAAGTTGGACATTTTTTTACTGCTTCTCAAGAATAAAATGCTAATTAATACATTGATGCATATTCCTACCGTAAAAAAATTGTATTTTATTTGTAATAAGGTACTGGATAGTAACATAGTAAAGGTAACATAGTAACATAGTAACATAGTAACATATTAACATATTAACATATTAACATAGTAACATAGTAACATAGTAACATAGTAACACAGTAACATAGTAACATAGTAACGTAGTAACGTAGTAACGTAGTAACGTAGTAACGTAGTGACGTAGTGACGTAGTGACGTAGTAACGTAGTAACGTAGTAACGTAGTAACGTAGTAACGTAGTAACGTAGTAACGTAGTAACGTAGTAACGTAGTAACGTAGTAACGTAGTAACGTAGTAACGTAGTAACGTAGTAACGTAGTAACGTAGTAACGTAGTAACGTAGTAACATACCCAGCAAACACAAACATGTAACATATATGTATCATTTACATGTACTAGTTCCGTGTTACATAACAAAGTAACTTACATGTTACAAAATAACTCACGTGATTACTGTGAAAAATGACCTAATTTTGTTATATAGCAGGTTCCTTATATGTGATGTAATGTGTTAAGTACATGTAAGGAACAATGTTATATATCGGAAGACATGTAACATTTATATTACCATTGTAACATTTAATATGCTTCATTATTACAGCACATATACATTGCTTTTTTCATATAACATTAGTATTATAAATGTTATATAAATGAAGGTATATAAATGTGTCGTCTCAAAATGTAGGTATTAGTTATACAGTGTGTCTACTTAAGTTGGAACCATATGGAAAACTTTTTTATTATTGATTTTGTAAAAAAATGTATTCTTGATAAAAAGTTCTACATCGTCCAAAACTTAACATGCAATCATAAGATAATAATTTATTTAAGCTGTCTACGAGGTTTGTCTAAAAATATGAATTTTACTCAAGAGTAAAGTACCTTTATGTTTTACAATACAGAAGAACATTATAAAGTAAAGTTATTTTGAATTAAAAGTTATATTCAAATATGCAATTACAGTCATTTAGTATGAAAATTCAGGTTAGGTAATACATTTTACATTATTTGTAGTTATAAATTAATTAATCACCAAACCTGAATTTTAATGCTAAATGGCCGAAATTGTATATTTAAATATAACTTTTAATTCAAAATAACTTCACTTCATAACATTCTTCTGTATTGTAAAATATAAAGGTACTTTACTCTTGAGAAAAATTCATATTTTTTGGCAAACCTCGTATACAGCTTAAACAAATTAATATCTGATGGTTGCATTTTAAGTTTTGGACCATGCAAAACTTTTTATCAAAAATACATTTTTTCACAAAATCACTAATCAAAAAGTTTTCCATTTGGTTCCAACTTAAGTAGACACACTGTATGACAAATACTTACAAAAAAAACGTCGAAAATATTTGGAGGAAAAAGAAAAGTAATTTAAACGTATTTGTTAGGTATATCAATAATTTTATTGGACAAATTCATAACCGAAACCAAAAATGTGTTATAAAAATATTGCACACAAATATAATAACCCAAATTCATCATAAAAATCACAAAATATCTGCTATTATTGACGATCCACGGCCTCAAAATTCAGGGCCCCATAAAGCATGACCTGAAAAGAGAACAAAAATTAATATTTACACCTCAAATGTATTATCGACATACAGCGCACACATATAACTCAATTCCATTATAAAAACTCAACATACCTGCTATTGTCCACAAAAATCCAAAAATGCCACAGGTACCTCCATAAAACGCCTATAGCCGCCTTCGAATATTGAAACGCTACTAAAAATAATGCACCAGATATACCTACTTACCTACCTAAGAAACATGCGCATTTCAAGAACCGTTTGATCAACAGCATTTATGTATATATACGCTATGTAACATTTTGTACGAAATAATTTAGTACAAATTGTTACTTCAATGTAGATTACACAGATATATAAATTGATATAATCTTTATGTGAGGAAATTAATATAGCGGATATGTAATTTTTGTAACATATATTATAATTATATACATGGTATATAACTATGGTGCTAAGTTTGAACTTATGTGTTCGGTTCCATAAATAAGACATAAAAGTGCATACAAGACAGTCTAAGTATATTTTAACCTTCTTAGTTATGTAACAGTAGGGAACATGTAACAGAATGGTTTGCTGGGTAGTAACATAGTAACATAGTAAAAAAGTAACATAGTAACATAGTAACATAGTAACATAGTAACATAGTAACATAGTAACATAGTAACATAGTAACATAGTAACATAGTAACATAGTAACATAGTAACATAGTAACATAGTAACATAGTAACATAGTAACATAGTAACATAGTAACATAGTAACATAGTAACATAGTAACATAGTAACATAGTAACATAGTTATAAAGACAAAGAACTAATGAAGATTTGACCTAATTTTTTAAATACTAAAAATTATGATTTTCTAAAACAATTTCATGTGGGTGACTGACTTTATTTTCAACATTACTTAAAACATCTAAACTTTTAGTATTTACCAAAAATATCGTTTTATAATTAAAAATCAAAAAAACTCTACACGACTGTAACATTTAGGTATAGGGAAAGCGTAACAAAAGTAAAAGTATTTTGTAAGTAGTTTATAAAAATGATATAATATACGAGGCGTTTCATTTGAAATAACCAAGAAAATCATGGTCGTTAGTTTTGGATTACCCTGTATACAAAATGAAAGATATCAAAAACATGATGAGTTGCAACAAAACTAGACTACTACGAAATTGTTCTGGCCTTGAGATATTAACCCTCAATTGTTGATTTCAAATAATACAGGGTGACGATTTCATTAGGATTTTCACATAAAAGTGGCCATTCTTTAAAAGTATCCTGTAGAACCTGATAAAACCCTATATTGCCAGAATGGGGAAAATGAGCAAAAATCAAATTCGAGATAACATATAGGGTGTTTCACTAAAAAAAAAAAAAACTTTGGCAAGCTGTGACTTTATGAAACACCCTGTATATTACGAAATAATTTTAAAATGTGTAGGTGAACTCTATAATTTGTTTTTAAAACTTTTGTTCGTATCCCTCAAAACAAAGGTGATATTAAACTCCGAAGTATAAGTTGATCACCCTGTATAATGAGGTACAACGTAAACATTTATTTCCTAGCTTATTAAAAACGCAAAGATTTATATCATCCGTTTGTTTTGGTATAGGTTACGCTTATATATTCTGTTTCCAAGCAGTTATTGGACCCTTGTCCAATAACTACTACTTCAATATTTATTCCTAGAATGCCTAAAACAAGTCAGTATGATTCCAATTCTATGGAGCCTGCAATGAATGAGGTTAGGAACAATAAACTGGGATTGAGGGCAGCCGCTGAAAAATATGGCGTTCCAAAGTCAAGGTTGGAGTTTAAACTTAAAAACCCTGGTCATAAAGAAACTTGCGGTCCATCACCTATTTTGGCATTAAGAGAGGAGCTAGAGCTGGGAAGTAGGGTAAATAGTATCCATGCGAACTAATAGACTTAAACCACATTGTTATTATTCTTACAGGTAGATAGAAGAGTTAGCGAATAGAGGTTTTCCAAGGAAAAAAGATGATATCCTGAATAGTGTTCAGCAGTTTCTAATCGAAAATCTTGGACCGAATCCGTTCAAAAATAATAGACCCGGTGATTGTTGATTTAAGTTTAATCCGAACATTTTCCATCTAAGTTTTTCATTGGCGATTTTTTTTAGGCCTTCCTAAGAAGGCATCTGATAATTGTGCAAAGAACTAGTGAAGCAGTTAGTAATGCAAGTGTAATTATTACAACTTAAAGAGGCCCCAAAACCTTTTTTTAGGGCTTAACTGTATTTCCTGCGCTGGGTGAAATCGGTAAAGAAAACACAAATTCTGTTAATTCACTTCATTTTCAACCATTTGAACAGTACACTTTATATTAGATCACAGTAGATCTTAATATTTTAAATCACACTGATTTTACAAAGGTGAAATGATCCCTGAAGGGACCACCTTCCTTAACAGAAAGATGTAATCGTGGCGGTGGTTGAGCGCCAACTGCGGCACAGAATAACCACTATTACAGAAATGAAGGCTTGCGTCGGCACGTTTGATGTCGGGGTGGCCAAAATTTAAAGTGACACTCGCTGACAGTTGACGTTCTTGCCGGTTGTTACACTGGTAAAAATTACCAAGATTCTTATAAATTCGGATAATACACTGAGAAAAGGATTTAAATATATGTAACAAACTTATTTAGCAACATCCACTATTTCTTCTCTGAATTGAAGGTTAGTGATATAATTAGAAAAAATAAGGCTTCACGATAATTTATTTTGAAGTAAATTGTACTGATCGCTATATTAAAAAAGAGTTTTTACTTGAGGAACCAGACCGAATGCTCGTTGTACTTAATTCATCAGTTTTTTTTAGATAACATTAACTCTTTAACAGAAGGATTCTATTACAAATTATTGATGTATTAATTAATTGTATACTTTCCTGAAAAACACCTTCAACTGTGATAGTTGGATCTAGAAAAATAGATTAAACTAATAATAACATTAAAAATGCAAATACTTTCGAACTGTCATTTTGAAAGCATTTTATGTGTTTTAGAACCTTATCATATGTCAATAATACCATAAACAATCCTTGTATTAAGACTTTCGCCATACTCTTATAATAATTTGACAACTCGGTGGATAAATCTGTGATTTTTACAATTCCATTTTTGTAAACAAAATTAATCTAGTAGTCGTTGGTAGAAAAGCATCACCAATAATTGGCGTATCGATTTATTACACTGTTTTACACTAGCACTAGCTCAAATGGCTTTTCTTTCGAGTCTTTTGTGCAGAGTTGTCCAGTAATTGCAGCACTTCATTAACGTGGGAGTGGAGTCGACCCTCATGTTTTGCAGT